TCCCCGGCGCCTCCGGCGAGTCCGACGCCAGACCCATCAGGTCGCCACTCGCCGAGCCCCCAAAAGCGCCCAAACTGGCCGTTTTCTCCGACTTGTCCGCCCGACCGCCCGACGCCGCACGAACCGCTCTTGTCCAGAATGGCATTCCTCCTCCTCCTTCGAATGCACACGACCCAGCGCAAACATCTATTCACACCCATACACACACACACACACACACACACACACACGCAAACTTGCTTATAGTCGGGCCGGTTTGAGCGAATGACATTTTCCCGAACGAGTGGAAGAATCTGGAAAAATCCGCCAGTCTCCCGAGGCAGGCAAGTACGCAAACGACGTGAATGAAGGCATGACTGCCGAACGAGCCTCACGACCAAGGGGAGTGCCCCAAGCCATGCTGGCCTGTGATTGGTTGCTGGCGGCACAGCCAATCACGGCGAAATATGATTCAACAGCTGGTTTGATTGCCTCAAATGCAGCCAATTACCGCTCGAGTTGAGGAGTAGGGCGGGCAGACACTATGTCTGAGTCTGGCCGAGTCAGCAGCACATTCACACTCACAGTTGTTGGATAGTCGGTGAAAACGACCGCGAATTCCTACTGAGACTGCGAAAATTTCCCTTCAAGGCATAGAAACAATGTCAGGCTGGTTAAGTGACATGAAATAGATGATAACGGTACCATCCTTTTGCTTGGCGATTTCAATCATCTCTTTTACCACCACCTTTCGCCCACAGTTTGGCAGATCGAATAAACCCATTTCGAGATATGCCCCCACACACAAAATTAACATGAAGCAGACAGCATACAATTCATATCATCTACTCTCTCGCCAATATAATCCTTATTAACTGTCTTTATGCGGAAAAATGGATGATTTTTTACTTTCAGGAGTAGAGCAAATGTGCGCATGTCTGAAAAGCATTCTAAAATGAATTCAATTAGACGCATTGTTCCAGGAGCATAGCAACTGCTGTAGGCTTTGTAAGCATGCTTTGGTAAGCAATTTAAAATTATTAAAATCCCTACATTGAAAATGAGTCTATAATTTTAGGCGCCAAAAACAGATAGTATCCTTTACGTTATCCTGAACTCACGGTTGTGTATGAGGGAAGCCTAAATGGGTGACTTGCCTGTGAAAGTGGTTGAAGAATGATCAAGAATTAGTCCATACATTTAACACCAAACATGTGACTCTTGCGTCTATAGAGACAGAGTAGCCTCAAGAAAGACCTGTTTTCGCATTAATTCGATCATAATTAGTTGCTAGCCTTCTTGGGCAGGAAATAAAAAAGTACTATACTCCAATTATCGTGCTAATGTGCCGGCAAATCTCTTAACCATTTAACACACAGTTGATAACTGATCTGAACAAATCACGTCATTAGCTGTACAAATTATCCCAATTATTTCGCGCAAAAGGGCAATTAAGCAATTAAGCAGTCGAGACGCTCAAGGAATAAGAAAGCTGTACGTTTAAAATTAATGTATGTATTTGTCTTAAGGTAATGTCATGTATTATTTGAGGGATTTTTAGTGCTGTTTCGCATAAAATTCAATTTCAACAGGATGAAAGCTAAATTCTTCACCATCACAATTAACCTATCTGAACGCGCATCAGTATTATAATAATACTAAATTAGCTAACCTCAATTAAATAATAATATTTAAGTACAAGCGCTGCTAGAAATTAATGCATCCTCCTATCCTTTGCTGACACTATTGCTCAATCCAAATTTCCATGATTAATTCATCAATTACAATAATACATTAGCTCAAGTAAGCATTAAACGAAGTAAGCGACAGAAGAACACATAAAACTATCCAACGAAATTAAATTCATATTCTGTACTCTATCTAAATATATTTCCAATATTATTTACCGCATAGTAAGAGGGCACATCGAATTTCAGTTAAAAGTAGCAAGTCGTAATTTAAGACAACATCATCCTCATCATCATCATCATCATCATCATCACAAAAATCCCCTTTGACCAGCATAGCGAATCATTTTGATGCGTGAAAGCAGTGCAATAAAACAATATTGAATTAGTCAAAATATTTGACCATTTGTAACTGAAAGCACGGCCAGAGATGAATGCATTTTATTACCATCTGTAAACACTTTTTAGCTAAATACAATTTTCACATGATTAAGTCATCTATTGCAACAACATGATGATGGGCAATATTCACGCAAATGTAGAGCTAGCAAATGCATAAAACGGCATAAT